TTTTTTTTTTTTTTTTTCTGTTTGTTCGTTTTCAGAGAGGAAGGGGAGAGGGGAGGGGCAGAGGCAGAGGGAGAGAGAGAATCCCAAGCAGGCTCCACGCCCAGCACCGAGCGCAGCATGGGGTTTGACCCCACAACCCTGAGATCACGACCTGAACTGAAATCAAAAGTTGGTGGCTCAACCAACTGAGCCATCCAGGCACCCCAGAACTACTAAAGTTTTAAGACTGATTAAAGGTTTTAGGGTTTTTTCTCTTGCCTTGTATGCTGAGAATCATATATATAAAATATTTTTCCTTTACAGCTTATGGCTTTAGAAATATCAGATATACATGTGTGTATGTATAAATTGCTCTATTCTCAGCTGCATGATTTTTTATAAAAAAAAAAAGAGTAAGTCCATACCAGTTTGTATGCTAAATTGTTCAATCAGCAGTGATCAACTTAAAAGCATTTCTAAATTTAATTGAAAAATGAAGCACTATAAGATAGGAGTAAAGAATATCTTTGACTTTAGTTTCTATGTAATTAATGTATATTAACATTTAAAATAAATGTTTATTTGAAGGTAAGGTATTTGTTTACTAAAATGTTGTAAAGGGGTGAATTAAACATCTTTTAAAGGAAAATTCTTTTAACTTCTGTGACTATGAAAAAGGATTGTTACCTTCGATAATTATGCTCTTTTGATCCATATACTTTTTAAATAAATGAAGCAATGTCAATTTTAAAAGTTCTTATAGAATTGAAACTGCTTTATACAAAATTATCTACCCTAAAAATTAATTGGATTTTCTACATATCTAAAAGATATTATAATACATTCTTTTCTTTTTTTTCCTTTGCAAAATATTTTTAAATTGAGAAATGAAATTTTAATTGTCTATGGAATGTAATTTTTAAAAGTATTTTTAGTAAAAATAGAAAAATCTCAGAGCTGAAGCCTTCTCTTTGTCCTGATTACTCACTTTTCTTCGTGCCTTTAATTCTAATTTCATTTTCTACACATTGACATTGTAAAAGTTAGAACAAGGCTGACAGGCAGGTTCACCACACACAGATCATATGAAGACATCTTTGAATAAGAATGCATTCTTGCAGGTCACAAAAACTAGTCAGCACATTGACAAACAATGAGCAGAAAGATCCCCCCTCCAGGCCACAGTTAAGGTACAACCTGGTCACTTACGGCAGTGTTTTACCCCTAGAGTCTGTGGCAGCGGGTATTTCCTTCCTATTTCAACCAGAATGACTAAGGGACTGAAGTGATGAGACAGATCAGCCTCGAGACGGCTTGAACCCAAAAAGCAGACAGTCTCACAGCATTAGGGAAACGAGACTAAGAGAGAACAATAATACTAACTGTAACTAGCATCTATTGTGTGTTATCAGTTAGGAATTAAGTTCAGCTTCTAATAGTAGACACACAAAACACAATTGTTTTAAGCAAGATCTTTTCTTCTCACACATGAAAGAGTACAGAGGTAAGCTGGTGTGGTAACTCCACGGTCACCTGGGACCTGGGTTCCTTCTGACCCTCCCCCCTCCATGGGGCGGAGCTCCCGTCCTCCAGGTAGCCATATGAAGGAAATGCTCTAGCATCACGTTCACAAGGAGGAGAGAAAGGGAACCAGAGCAGGGGGGAGCCACTTGAAAGAGCTTTCCTGCCAGTGCATTGAAACAACTAGGCCTACATCTCATTAGCCAGCCTATCTGCCAGGCAGCAGGGAACAGTGGTCTCCAGGGTTGGCACATTAGCCCATCCAACAATAAGGTTCTGCTTCCCAAAGCACTGAGACAATATTAGGTATCCGAAGAGGTAGCAATCCAGGCCATAGGGGGTTAAGCACTTATCATGTATCATCTCATTTTAATCCTCACCATATACTTTTAAGACTGGGTTAGAGAACTCATGAACTTGTCCCATGTCTTCCCAACTCCAGAGCACGTGCTTTAAACTACTATACTAAACCACCTGCCCAGTAATAAACAGTAGGAGAATGATTAAGAAGGAGTCAGTCATTGTCAAGGAGGCCCATCGGTGGGCACGATCAGATGAGAAGTAACGGAAGCTGCGGGCTGGCGGGGAAGGAAGGACCGTACACAGTGCCAGGGGGAATGGTTTATCATGCTGAGAAAAAGAAGCCAGGCCTTGGAATCGGGGGGATAAGGGAAAAAACCTAGTCTTTGGACCTAGTTTACTGGTAAGGATTTGCTCACTGAGTGAAAAAATAAAATCCCACTTACTGGAGCTGAAGTCAACAGGATAGTGGTTGTCCTCTTTAAGGCTGCAATAGAGAGGCATGCCCAGGTACTCTCAAATACAGGTGGTTAGTGCGAGCATGTGAGAATGTAGAGTTGCTTGAAAGATCACCTCTTCAACAGCCATAATCATTGTGGCTTTCAGAACAGCCAAACCTGGCAGGTACCTAGCACTTGCGTGGAAGAGCGAAAGCAGCATTGTTTGAGATTCTCCCTGAGCTCAAGAGTCCCACCTCTGGAAACATTCATACTTCACAAGAGAGAAAAATCTGATTGAATTGGCATTTTGTCCATGTATTGCTGGCTAACTACTTAAAACTTAGTAGCTGAAACCAAAAACAAAATAAAACAAAACAACAACAAAACCAAAACCGAAAAAAAAAAATAGTAGCTTAAACCAGCAACAATCATTTATTTTGCCCCTGAGTCTGCAATTTGGGTGGGACTCATTGGGAATAGCTCATCCCTGTTCCACATGGCATCAGCTGGGCGACTGAATTGGGGCTGGGGGATCCGCCTTCCCATGGCTCACCCCCATGGCCGGCAAGCTGGTACTGGCTGTTTGATTGGAACCCAGCCAGGTCTGTGGGCCAGGGGCCTTGGTTCCTACTACATAGTCCTCTCCATTGCAGCCACACAGTAGGATAGCTGGGTTTCAAGAGCAAATATCCCAAGAGAACGAAGTGGAAAGACATGGCATTT